GCCGCCTCAACGACAACTTCAAGAGGCCAACCTGCCCATCCAACTTCACCATCTTGAACTTGCTTCTTTCTATCAAGGAGCAGATTTCCAATGAAGATGCCGATCAAAAGATTCCAGTGTCCATGTTTAGACCTGTGTGTGCCTTTGGGATGTTCCCACAGATCCTTCCACAGAGGGTCTGCGTGCTCGCTCTCTGCTTCACAGCACACAGTTCCCTGTCAGCCTGGTTGCTCTTAGCAGAGAAGGCCTCACAGATACCTTGTCTCAGGCCCTGGGGATCAGCACCAACTGGGCCAAGTTCTGAAAATGAGCACGAGGTCCTGGCAAAGGATGTGGCCATCCGTGCTCTTGCTGAGGGCTTTCTCTAGGGGGCCATCTGGAAGATTACACGAGGACAGTCTACATATGAGTGGGAGGGCTAATGGTGTAAATGGACTTTAATTTTTGCTCGGAATCTGATTTCTGTCTTATTAAGGAAGTGTTTTTAAGCCAGCTGCGATTCTCATTTGTTTTGCAATTTGATCATCTGGGAGGTAGCTAAGAACAAAGAAACGAGTGGAGGCCAATAGCAACCAGCATACACAACCCCAGGGCCACAGTTTCCCACGGACCATTACACCCCCGCTCCCAGAGATGACACACAGGCCTCAGCAGCCAGTGAAGATCTCAGCCAGCAACTTGACTCTGCAAGATTGGGAAAAGGTGCACAACCCTGAGGCTGCCCCTTCAGAAGGGAGGGACACAAGTGGGGTTGAACCCATTGTCTCGGCATCTCAGTGCACTGCCCTATGGAAAGGGGCAGGTGACTCTTGGCATTCGACATAGCTCTGTAGACAAGCTCCCCAAGGAGGGAGTGAGAGGAGCAGAGTGGGCGTATCTATAGAAAAAGTTTGACTGATCCCCAGAATTTCTAGCTGAGGTGTCTGGTGAAGGTCTTCCCCTTCCAAAGGCAGTACATAAAGACTGGAAGGAGTGATTACTTCAAGTGTGCAGGCATCAACACAGGCTAAAAGGATCACACAGGATCGGGGAAACATGACATCACTAAAGAAACAAAACAAAGTTCCAGTATCTGACCCCAAAGAAATGCAGATCTATTAATTGCCTGACAAAGATTTCAAAACAATCACCTTAAAGATGCTCGTTGAGTTATAAAAGAATGCAGACAAATAACTAGACAAAATCATAAACATAATACGTGATCATGATGCGAAGCTCAACAAAGAGACAGAAATCATTAAAAATAACCAAAACATAACTTCCAGAGCAAAGAATACAATGACTGCACCAAAAAATTCAATAGAGAGCTTCAACAGCAGACTTGACCAAGCAGAATAATCAGGAGACTTGAAGACGGGTAATTTGAAATGCTCGACCCAGAGAAGCGAAAGTAAGAAGAAATGAAAAAGAGTGAAGTCAGCCTACAGGGACTATAGGATACAGTCAAGAAAAACAATAGGTAATGGGAATTTCAGAAGAAGAAGAGAAGGGAGAAGAAAGCTTATTTGAAGAAATTATGGCTAAATTTTCTGCAAATCGGGGGAAGGAAAAATTACTTTTAGATTTATAGATCCCAAAAGACTAAAATAGCAGCATCCACGGAGATGTGGGCTTTGGTTTTGAGGTGTCTGGTGTTTGGAGTCTGGGGTTCCTCATCTGAAATCAGAGGACAATGCTTTGTCCTTCCTGGTTCCCTGTTGCCTTCCACTGACCTTCATCCTGGTGGGCCCTGCCTGCTGCCCCACCACACTCCCCACTCGGCCCCAGTGCCTCCCTGGTGTCCTTCACATCCGGTACCCCTTAGCCTTGCTCAGCCTTCCCACTAAAGGAACACGTTATTCACTGAACACTCTTCCCTGAATACGTGTTTATCCCGTGTTGGCTGTGCATGGATGCCCTGCTGGGCTTCAGGAATTCAGTGGGGCGTATGGGAATTTACCTGGGGCCTCCAGGGTCTCATCCAGGGGCCAAGTATTCTAAGCACTGAAGGAGGAGCAGGCATTATGTAGGCCACTTGAGGGGTGAGAGTTGTGCAAAGGTCCTGAGGTGGCCAGAGGGAGGCACTGTGAAAAGTCCATGTTAAGTTCAGGATGGGGATGGTGGCCATTCTGCCCATTAACTCACGACCAAATTCTGCTCCTTCCTACCCAACCGCCTTCCTGGGCTGACTTTACAGTCAAAGGGCTTGAGTCTGAATCCTGGCCCATCACTGCTTTTTAGATGTGTGACCTGGGCCAATGGCTTCCCCTTGTGAAGCCTCAGTTCTCTCATCTGTGAAATGGGGGAGAGGCTGTAAAAATTATAGGAGAAACCCACAAGGTTTGGGGGAAGTCTAGATAGATACGTGTATTGCATCTGAAATGCCACTGATCAGTACTCAGTGAGTGTGCACTGCTATTTCCTTCTGTTAGAAATATTATTACTCCTTTTGTTCAAAGCTGATATGATAGGAACAGCAGAGGCTGAGGGTAAGGTCACAGGCTTTGCCATTAAACTTGGGAGTCAGGTAACTGCCAGCTCCTCCACCTGCCTGCTGTGTGACCTTGAGCAGGTTGCTTAACTTCTCTGAACTGCATTTTCCTTACCTACAAAGTGAGAAGGCTAATTCTAAACGAGCCTTTGTATATATGCTTGTGTGTGTTGGCAAAAAGACAGACTGCACACATGAAACTGCTCACCCTGGTTGTGCTAGGACAGTGGACGTGGAGCTGGGATGGACAGGGAGAAAGAACAGGCCGGGGGGTGGGGGAGACTGCAAACTTGCTCCTTGTGCACCTCTGTTCTACTAGATTTGCTCCAAGGAGCATGCATTCCTTTTGTAATTGTAACAGAAAAGAACAAATCTGACTCCATACCAGATCTGTTTCTTTGGCTTTAACGCTGTGCCCTGTTTTCTAGGCTTAGTCTTGCTAGCTCTGTGCCTTTTGCAAAACAATGTTGCCTTTAGCCTGAAATACACAGAAGAGCCTATTTTCCAGGCTCTGACCTTTAAGGATACTGACACTTTCGCACTCCTATAAAGATAACACGTTGCAGAACAGAAAATCACATTTGTTTTGTTGGAGGTTTACAGGGGCACCATGAGCTGCCCCACGTGGACAGCTACAAGAACACAGGATTCCAAGAACAAAGAATTCCTACAGCAAGAAGTTTGCAACAACCCACTACACCCCCTCCCCTTTTCAGTACACAATAAGCCTGAATTCTAACTCTAGTAAGATGGTTCTCCAAGACATTCATCGGCCATCTTGGTCAGCTGGCTTTCCAAATAAAGTCGCTATTCCTTGCCCCAACACCTCGTCTCCTGATTTATTGGCCTGTCGTGCCGCAAGCAGAACGAGTTTGGACTCTGTAACACCTACAGATCGGGAGGTGGGAGGCCCAGGTGAAGTCCGGCGAGGTCACTTTTTGGTGATGACTCTCCTCCCGGCCACCAGCTGGCCGCCCCCTTGCTGTGTCCACATGCGGCGGGGAGCCAGCTCTGGGGACTCTCTCTCATGTAAGGACACCAGACCAACCAGGTAGGGCCACCCTCAGGACCTCACTCAACCTCTGCACCTCCAAACATGGGCACATGGGGGGCCCTCAACCTATGAATATGGGGGATACAAACATCCAGTCTGCAAAGGCGAGAGGAGTCTGAGGACCTGGGGCAGGCGGGCGTGAGAGCGAGGCGGCATTTGGGTACCTGCTGTCATGAAGCCAACC